ATATGCGATGCCAAACGCAGCCGATTGGGAGGAATCAGCTCGTTCGGAGATGGAGAGCTTGGTGATACAGCGCAAGGCATTCACTCTGGTTGACAACAAACCGCGAGAGAAATCATTATTCCCCCCTCGATGGGTCTTCAAGGCCAAAACAAATGAATCAGGACAAGTCACACGACTCAAATCACGTCTGAACGTAGGAGCATTCAATGCAAAACAGGAAGTCGATTACGATGAAAGCTATGCCCCAGTAGTAGCCAAGGAAACACTCAGGATTTGTCTAGCTCTAACGGCACACTATGACATGGACATTCGACAATACGATACACCCTCGGCCTATCTCACTCAAGAACTGGATACCCCTAGCTACATGCGAGTGCCGCTAGGATACGATCTCATCAAACATCTATTGGACCCGTCTCAGAGAAAACTATACGAAAAGCACAAGCAAGGAGACACAAAGGTCGTATGTCGAGTTGACCGTTGCGTATACGGTCTACCATCTAGCGGACACTACTGGTTTATAGCTATCCATCGGTTTGCTATACAACACAGTTATAAACAAGCACAATCGGATGGAGCACTGTTCATCGAACAAACACACAGTGGACCTTGTTTCATTATTATACAGGTAGATGACAAAACTGCAGCATGTCAGAGTAAGACCGACGGACAGAAACTAGCTGACGCAATGAAAGGCGAATGGAACACTGTTGATATGAGCCTACCGTTATGGTTTCTCAAGTGCCAAGTGGAAATACACTCTGGAAGTACGTCTCCATCAACGACAATACCTAAGAGAAATATTGCAGGAATGGGGGTTGATAGACTGTAAACCAACTTGGGTGCCAATTCTAGAATCGGACTATGAAGTAACAGACAAACACGCATATCTCCCGGAAAAGGCGTCAAGTTCAGACGTCCCAACAATCACACAGTACAACAAGCTCGTGGGTCAGCTACGATACCTTGTAGATCAATCACGAGTGGATATATGCTTTGCAGTTTCGATCCTAAGCCGCTATCTGATAGCACCTCAGTACCACCACTTCAGAGGTGCCAAGCGCTGTTTGAAGTATCTCGGTGGTACTCAAGACTTCGGACTCGAATACACGAACAAAGAACCATGTATTCCCTATCTGAGTGCAGACAGTAGCTTCGCTAGCAAAGTTAAACTCACAATATGCTACAACACAGAAGGGAGCTGTCCCCTAGCATCCACGCCACAGTCAACACCGATCCAGTAAGCAAAATGTATTTTTCAAGAAAATCTCGAGTATTTTTACCTGCGAAATTGTGATGCCTGTCCCCGTACAGAAGATTATCCACGCCAGTCGTGAAGCCTGTCAATGTACAGGAGATCGTCTACTCTTCAGAAAAGTCCACGTTTTCAACAATTTTCATCGAGACAATACTTAAAAGCACCAATTCGTAAACGTCTTCGACAAATATACATTGGTTCAACGCTTATCGCCCAATCCATCTACAGAGTCAACAATTCCACAATCCAGGCCTTTAGTCTTCAGCCTTCATTAGTCTTCAGTTTCCAATTTTCAGCCTTCAGACTTCAGCCCTTTAGACTGTAAAATTGAGGGGGAGTGAGAGACTACAGGTCTCAGGCCAGATTTTACAGCAAGAAACCATCTTGATTTATGGAAGTCATCAGAGTTTTGCTTAAATTACTCCCAAGAGTTGAGTTATTACTTAACCGACTTCCGAAAGCAGATTAAGTTTCTCAATCGATTCCCGAGAGTGGATTACGCCTGTCAACCGCATTAAGCCTGTCAACCGCAACATTCTAATAATAGCTGCGGTTCTATGCGAGTCACAACCTATGCGGAAAGGCATCATGTGATCAGCGTGAGATTTAGTTGCAGAGAACTTGAAATAGAAAAGGATCGAAGTCATACTGACCATATGAGTTTTACCCTGGCCAGCCCAAGCGGCTGAACGCTAGCACAAACACCCTAGGTATAAAACCAAAGGCGAGGTCAGAAATAAATACATACATTTGCACTTTTTTAAAGTCTACTACTTTGCACTCTAACATATATTGGCCGTATGATGCACACTTTCGACATCACGCAAGACCATTGAAAATATACTCCCGGCTCTGGTATACATTCCGGTTCTCTTAATGTGAAATTACCCCCGGCAGATATCGGATGCTTCTCAGAGCCATGGGCTTCCGCAAATATGACGTGCCTCGACATCGACTGCCCCTTACCCCACCCATCTACAAATCAATAGCCAATCCGAGCACGATACGTTCGCGATTGCTCTCATACAGGCATGATCAAAATAAGCTATATCTCTACACACCCAAACCTAACTTAAGACCTACTAACTAAATATGCAGCTCGACCACAAGGGCCAATGCTCTCTGTTAAGTTCCATTGCATATTTGGCAAGGAAGTACATGTCCATCTGATTCTTGATCACCACGCTATCTATTGCCACCACCCTATCCGTTACCTAAAATCCTAAAACTCTACTACCATTAATAATAGCGATTTCCTCTTAGTCTAAACCTGCGTTTCTCTTTCTTCTTTTTGGCCCTATCTCCCAATATTCAAATTTACAAAACAATAGACCCGTAATTCTACTTCACTTTATTCATGCCAAACTCTGTTCATATGTAACTTACAGGGCCAACAGGCTTCACTCCCCACTGAAAGGTCCAAAGCTTGAACACAGCCTTTCAGCGCACAAGGTCAATCGACTTTTTCTGGTAGTTGCATCTATTTCGTTGTCCACGATGTATCATCAGAACACTAGTCCCTCTCGCACCATGTATTTCTCAACTAATACATGTTTACTAAGAAGAAACTAAACTAGAGTCACGTTAGTCTCACTCTCGTCCCCACGAAAGCTTAATATATGGAACCAAACATGCGACTTTCATTGTTAGTACTCAAATCGTTATGCTCAAACTTCACCCGGTATTACCATCGTTATATGGGATGTCTATTGTTAGAGTGCAAGACGGGGAACTTTCAAGAAATTGCAATTGTATGTCTTTGTTTATGGCATAACCTATGGTTTCACGCCTAAGGTGTTTGTGCTAGTGTTCAATCACTTGGATTGGCCAGGGTGATATACAGAACACTTTATCACTTCGATACTATCATGTAGAAATAGTTCGGAAATTTGTTTCGGTAATCGTCGCGAGCCACGCATCACGACTCATAGAATTGTTTTTCTACTAAACGATCAGGCTTTTAAAATAAACAGGGCTATGTCAGTCTCGCACTAGGGTGATATACAGAACACTTTATCACTTCGATACTATCATGTAGAAATAGTTCGGAAATTTGTTTCGGTAATCGTCGCGAGCCACGCATCACGACTCATAGAATTGTGTTTTTACTAAACGATCAGGCTTTTAAAATAAACAGGGCTATGCCAGTCTCGCACTCATACCACAAATGCACAAGTTTCTCGAACGAATGTGCAAAATTTATATTGTTTTCAGCCTTCAAATGTGATAGCTCACTGTCCCTATTTTCTTTTCGAGTAGGATACAATGATAATCTATTATAGTCCACAGCTTTCATTGTATCCCAACATATAACCCTCATGACAGAAATTTTCATTCGTTGAAAGATCGAGACTGCGTTTATTCAAAATCTTGTCGTATTTATAAATCTTGAACCCAGGTTCTGCACAGTTAACTTTCGACATGACGTGTATGATTTGCAAGGCAAAACACACTGAATATTGAGAAAAATGCTAGTATCACAAGTTGGTAGACTCGCAGACTAGTACTAAGCTGGAAGCTAGTACCACATGGCCATCAACTGAAAAATATACAATGCTAATCACAAAGGGCGCAAATTCCTAAAATATCGTTTTTTTGGATAATGTGGGCAAAAATCGAAATCGCCACACAACGTTTTCCCGGATTTAGATTCAAAGTTCCAAAGATAAGGAAAAAATAGATCTCACGAGTTTTGTCCACGCGGAACAGCTTTGGATCTGCGAATCGACATCAATATCGTTCCCCATACATTGGATGGAAGGGAGAGCCTATCTCGCCGAATGTCGTCACAGAAATAAATCACATATCATAATCAAATACCGAGTTTTGGCCGAGATTGAAGGATTCCAGTTGATAGAAATCATAGCTTTTCAGACAACGGGCACTTACTAATACTTGTTTGCAGTTACGTGTTCCATAGACAACTATGACAATTACATATCTACATTTTCTATCATACACGTACCGATTCACTCATAGTTGCACATTACCTAGCGGTTTACCGCATTGTTTTAACATTGAAAGTATGATCATATTCCTACAGTATTGCCATATTCCGAAGGGTTGACAGCACATACAACTGCTGTGACTGTGTTTTCTAGAAAAAACACATCAAGCCTCCAAGGCCCTCATCGACAAGCTTTTCAGAGGTACACCGGATATAGTATCGAATACCTGAAGTGGTACGATTCAATAGTCTCAATAATGAGAGCATCAGTCGAGATGAAATTAGTGCTTTCGGAATCAGGATTTGTCGCGCAATGATACAAGGCCGAAACATAGCAGAACCGAAATTATCAAGTCAGTGTCGACTATTTTAGAAAATTTAATTGCGGTTGTCACATGCTGATCGGATATTGAGCCTACCTTTAGCTGCATATCGAACTACTTGATTAGCTCTACGTTGAAGCGTATGTTATTATGCAGGATAGATACAGGTGATTAGATAACTACATAGTTGTGCGTAAATTCAAATTTTGCAATAGTGGAAAACGAGTATTTTGGAGCACGCAAACCGATTCAATTCTGAGCCTCCATAATAATAGTTAGCCTAAAAAAGGCCGCAAGAGGCCATCCGCACATGATGCGGTCTAATAGGTTGGCCTTTTGACTTTGCTTTCGAACACGAGACGTCATGACCCATTGCACATAATCTTCCACTCACACACCATGAGAGTTAGCTATTGCAAACTTATCAAATATGAAATTCAGCTACTTTTCATATACGCATCAATTCATTGGGGTCTAATCCAACTTGCTCATTAGATCAGTGCCTTACAAAGTCACGCTTGTTTATATCTATCTTTTCTGTCGCTTATTCGATCGCCCCTTACTGGGTCTGTGCTGATCGACACTCCGCTTATTGTTCTCTTTCCTTCGTTCATTAGTCCTTTCGCGCTTCTCCTGTCGTTTCGCAGGATTGATGACTGTTTCCAACGCTCGCCGCTTCCTTCTATCCTGGCGTAAGTTGTTCTGGTGACGACTTACGGTACTATGCGCGGCAAGATAATCAGTGGCACCCACCTTCTTACTAATCATTTCTGACAACTCCTGTGCGAGTGCGCGTACAGTTTCGCTTTCCCGCCGGTCTTCTGATACAGACACGATCGGCAAAACTATCGTAGTCAACAATTGCTTCAACGTATTCACGGAGGCAACACTCGCTAGCGCGGCAAAGTACTCAAAAACACATTTGCGTCTTAAGGCGGAGAGCTCTTCATTATGCACAACCGTATTACGTGCAACGTACGCCAGACGTTTGCATATCCAAATCAGCCTCTCTATAGTCGTGGTACCTGCACTGTCCTCTTCTTCGTTCGCTACTCCGTTTGAAACATTTCTAATATTTCGGCTTGTAGCCGAACTCTTGCTCCCATTCGCACCAGACTCCTCTTGCAAACAAAGTAACACACGTGTGACATAGAAGAGGTTTTTCACCACTTGCGTGCCCATAACGCTAGTAAGATGCTTCGATTCTAACTGCTTACAGCTCGTGCGAGCGATATTCCACACGGACTGTTCAGTATCCAACAGAGCAGGACTTGATGTGCTGATGGTACACGAGAGACGGTTCGCAACGATACTAGGGTCATTTCTGGGTGCTGCAACATACGCTCCCACTAACCTCGACGATACTAAGCGCACCCACAAGTGCGGATGAATCATGTGCACATATATGTCAGTCCACATAGCCTCTACTTCACTGTGAATATCAATGGCGGTTTCTACACCGCTCCCTTTCTTCTTCTTGCCACTGACTTTTCGAGATTGTCTTTGCGCCTCCACACCAGGGCTCTCACTGAGTAAAGCAGGAATAGCTGAAATAATCTTCTGCAATGTGGTCAATGCATAATACAGCACTGGCCACGCGGATACATCGTTCACTTCGAAGCGTTCTTGCTTCGTATCGTCACTTGTATCAAACCAGTCTCTCTCCCCAAGCATGCTTTCAACAGCACTCTCACTTTCGGTTGTAGCATCGCTGATAATAACCTTCAGCACAGACAAAGCGGTGCCCGCGTACCGTGTAAAATCACTACCCATGGCATCAGCGAATATACCGGCTACTTGCAAACCACAACGCACGAGCACGGCTTGAGCATCGCTCTGTGTTTAAGAGGGTAATGAACGGTTATATTGGTTAAAGTAGGGTCGTTAAAACTCTTTCAGCCGAAGAAATTAAGTAACCAATAGTCTACTAAATTGCCCGCACGACAATTTGCGTATAACATATAATAATCCGCCTGACATACATATAGGATACGCGCTGCTAATAATTTGTACTTGAAACCACAATAGACGCATACGACTTACTAAAGTAGACAGGAATATCAGAACCGAGCATACACTACTACGAAACTAGCAAAAGAGCAACACTATCGATTGATGCATAATCATTTAGAAAAAGCACAAACTTGGAATGTGAAACGGCGACCCAGAATACTGACAATAGAACATTAAATGACTAACCTGGTACCCATTCAGCCAGACAAGTACAAATTTTTTATATAGAATATCTCGTTCCGCTGGCGTAGCTCTCTGAACTAGTCTCTTGATGATCGTAGACGCCATTTCTTTACACTCGGACGAGTCATCGTTGATCAAACGCATCACCAGAGGAAGGAAAAACAATTGAGAGTACTCCGACAGCGCGGCGTCCGGAAAGCTTTCGACCATCTGGAGTGCGCAAAATGAGACGTTGATAGGTATATGCGCGAATGACAATGGCTTCTCCCCGGTCCAAAAAAGCTCGTATCATAATATATGATCTCTTACTTCCATTCATAGGATCATATGTGAGCGTACACGATTCGGAAGAGATACTGCATGCAAGGCTGTGAATCACGATCGACATAGATAGCTTACACTGAATATCATGATTGAATCCCTATGCGTACCTGATGGATGACTTCGAGTACACTCTCACGACCGTGCTTAAATTCGTAGGACAAGTTGGTGATGCAGAACAGAACCCATTTCTTAAGCAGCTTAGGGCCCAGGGGATAGTCCAGGATAAATGATGTGAAGATCGCTGTGCAGTGGGTACGCACCGACGGAATATCTCCACGAACCATGATATCCTACGGATTGATGTTGTGTGAAATGTCAACTGCTTTCAGATGTGCAGCTACAATGTCCTTGTTATAGCCATACAAGACACGAGTACTGGCTGAAAGTCACTGAAATATGGCTTATTTTCAAGCACTCGAAATCCAATACTATTATCGAACTATAACGTTTTAGAGCAATAAACATACCGCAATTTTCTCGACAAGCGTGTAGAGTCCTGGTAGGAGCGTCTTTCGTGCTACGATAGCCCTTACCATAGCGTATGTGCTAGCTTGTTTCTCGTATACTTCCAGATCAGTTGTACACAAACTGACTAGATGTTCCAATTGTGGGACCGGAATCTAGTGAGCATAGAAATGAATCGATTTCAGAGCTAGCAAAAAATTGTGAACGAGTTGTCTGGTAAAAGCTCAATATTATGGTAGGATACTGCGAGAGCTATCACAGATTCCGCGATGGCCACAGGCTATCTGAAATACATTTTAATGCTTTCACCCTCTGCCAGCTAAGAGTGCCATGCAGTATCAACTAAAAAGCGATAGCTCTCACTCAAATCTCCATTAATATAAATTTTTCATTTGCTTCTTAGAGACATATATGTTTTCTCTAATTTTCATTGCGTTTTGTACCAAAGCACAGTGATCGTGGAGCTGATATGATATCCTTTGCTTCTCTCGTTAGTTCGCATGTAATCCCATGTGCTTTAAATTTACTGATCCAGTTCGGAAACCTAAAATACTTCTACATTAGTCGACATATTGACATCCACCCACAAAAAAATAGCATGCGCAAATACGAAAAAACCTACCTCGTAAGATTTGTAATCTCGAACAATCGTCGTTAGCATTTTGAAGCACGCTTGATGCAGCTCAGCACCGGTAGCTCCCACACCCGCTCGATTGAGAACCTTGAAGCAACGATTCGCAATGTGAGGCACATTCGTCTCCAATATGGGGAGCTCAAATCGGAAGCAGTAAGACAAGCATTTCAGTGACAACATCACTATCTTGTCGTACTTTGATCTTAGTGCGTCACCCAATACACCCACGATCGGATCCATCATGCGCTGGTGTTCTGGAACTTTGCGGGTGTCGACGAAGCCACTGTATATGTTGGCGGATATGAGGATGTAACGGAGATAATGCCGTGTGTCAGTGTCATCGAGGAGGAATTTTGTGATACTGCTGTATCTGCACATGTGTACCCACACAACAGCGAAAATACTCTAGACGGACCATGAATTAACTAAATAATGAATGAGCTACAGTCATCAATCAAAAGCAGCACTGTGCTTTTAAGTTCACCCGGGAATGACTACTCAGACATTTAAAGTAGGGGCATCGCACATACCGTTTCAAGTTGGCGTGTAATAGCAGCAGTCCGAGCTCTATGAGAAGATGGGCATTCGTCTGCATATAGTATTCGTGGCTACGATCCGACACTTTGCCTCTCTCTCTGTTGATTACCATATTTGCATCACGTCTGCTCTTCTGCTCCAAACATGAATCAAGTACACATGAGATGCAGAAAGTAAAAACTGAATGGTGGGTTCATCGGTCGACCATAGAGAAAATAGTTGCAACGAAATTCCACAGCCAGCGTACATATCAGCGTACTTGCGGGGACAATGGTCGGACAATGGACACAGATATGAGAAGTGAGAGCGCTAAATTGAGACAGGCCCATTCATTGTTCCCCAAAAATGATATACCTTCACCGACTCCTTCGTGGCGATTTTGGATAGGCCAACGTTTTCAGTAAGCAAGTTATGAACAAATATCAACACTTCCGGCACTGTGGCAGAAGCATTCGCTGTCAAGCCGATCACTATGCGCCTGAAGACCTCCTCCATCATTCTCCTTGTCTTAAGCGATTCTGTATTGGCCATGATACCTCGGATGGGTTGAAGCATAGCGTTGACGTATCTACGAAAAATAGGATCATTTTGACGTTAGTACCCGTGCTTCCATATAGTAAACTTACAACTAAACTCATACTAAAATTGTACTTATACATATACATACATACACATATGTATATGCATATATATATATATAATGAATCAACTACCTGACAAAGTCTAGATAAACTCGTCGGACAAGAATTCACCGACATACTTGAAGCTGACATTCCTTGCTACGAGTTCGAAGGTGTCGTGGCCGCGCTTGGCCTTGGCTTCCTTCATCTTTGTGAGAATTTGTACGACTTCTTTTTCTTGCCCCGTTAGTCCGAATATGTCGGGCACAATGATGTCTGCATCATGCAACGTGTGATTCTTAGAGGCGGAATAGACGAACAGCAACCACGATCTTACGAATGCACACAAAAGACGGGCTATGCGAGCATACATGGGCGGTGTATATTGTGTGCATTGGCATTTAAGGTATAAGCGAAGTAGAAAAATTCATCGTAGATGTCATTGACTGCAACATGCGATCGAAATTGATATCTTTGTATTTATATATCATTTAAATTTATAGATATCATTTGTACTTAACAGGTATCATTTGTGCTCATTTGTATATAGACCCCTTTCCAATAACATCCGAGCAGCAACAAGACTATGTTGTATAATACGTAGACTACTAAAAACTGTTTGCGCCGAACTGCAATGCTTGAATAATTCTTAACGCACGAGGCATACTCCATAAAAACTTACCTAGGATTACTTGCACAGAATCGTCCACCGAGCCTACTTCAGGGAATGCCTGAACAAAGTGATCAACAAGCGCATGCGTAGTATAACCCAGAATGTGCAGCTTGTATCCTGACTTCAGCTGTGCCATCAGTTCTCGCAGAACAAACGACAGGTATGTAGGACCAAGCGAACATGTAATTTCAATCAGCGCTTCTCTCGTTTCATCACGCACGGCATCGTCACGCGATCGCAACACAGAACACACACGCGTGATAAGTCCCGGCAAATGCTTTTCCTGTTGAGTTGATGTTCGATATGTTGAGTTCGTGGAAAATAAAGCTGAAGTACACAAATCATTCGAGCTTATTTTGTTGAGAGTTCGTAGATGCAGCATACAGAAAATTGGATGTCATAGAATAATAGCGAATAACAGAACCATTTCATACAAAAAGACACTTTCTTACCAGAATAGCCTTAGGCATGGTCTTTAGCAAACCTACTGTCGCGAGCGCAATTGCGGGTCTTAGCTCATCGAAATCGTCCTTGCCCTTTTTGATCAAGTAGCGATTCATATCCGGAAGTACAACACTTTCAACCGTTGATGCAATACGTTCCTCCATTGTTTGTGCGCGAGAATCAGCAGTAACGCTTTCAGATAGTTGCTTTAAGAGAGCTGTTTCATCAGTGTTGTCAGGAGAAAGATCAACGAGGTCGTCGCCATCGTTGTCCTCAACATCTTCATCCACGGCAACCGCAAGTGTCAATGGCACTTCAACTGATGTGAAATGAAAGTTATCTACAATCTTGGTCACAACCTGGAAGCGGGAATAAGATGATGGTAGTCAGAGACTCAGTATCATAAGGACATGAAGTGTTCGATTTCCAGATATACTGAGAACCACTATGTATAACGGCATCGACATCACATGGAACTAGTGCGAGGCGTGAGGTAGAAGTACAGAACAAATGGGTTGTACAACAACAGGCTTAGCCGTGATGCATGTTTACCTTTAACAGAGTTTTCTCGAGTTCAGGTTTCGTAGCAGCTAGTTTGAGATAAGTCCGCAGAGTGTAGATGTAATGCCCCCATCCAAGTTTGCCAGCGATTGAACCTATGACATCGATGGCAGCATTTACAAAGTGGTGCTCCATGGACTGTTGGGGAAAGCAATAGGAACAATAGATGGCAGGAGTGTTATGCTTGATATGGGTGTAGCGCGATACAACTCGCATGAAGGATTCATCATAAAAACGCAGGTGAAATTAAACAGGGATGATATAAGGCATCACGGCACTAAAAACACATATGAGACATGCCCTCATAAGGGCGGGCCAACTTGTGTATCTAACATAAAATCAATAAAATCTAGACTCTACTACAACACTGCGATTAGGTGCTGAGACGGATCTACGCACACTCATATGCATATAGCGCGTACACATTTTTCACCCTTGCGTCATTCCTACGCAGACATTAATCGACTACATTTTGCGATATAGGTCTGAACAAATTTGGGTTAAGAACACCATGACAGCTACGAACAGTATAGCCGGTACCATACTTCGAATGAGATGCGTTTATATGAAAATGTTTCAGGTGTACCAACTGCTTGTATGCACATATATGTATAACAATATGGATATATGAATATTGACACACAGTTGAAATTGCTATTGGTATGCGCAGCTCATGGATGGTTCAATGGATGTGGCACGCAACAACCATCAGCCCCAGCCCCAGCACCACTCCGTCTCCCCGCTCCCTTGAGATGGAGTCTTCATTCTTTATAATAGCGAAAGGCATCCATTCTAAGCTACACATCTATTCAACTTCGAGTATGTAATCGATTTCGATATGTTGCTGGGAATAAATATAATCTACTAATGTAGAGATGTAGAACTACAACTCCCCTTCAAAAGAGAGCTGCCGGGGCGATGGTTGTCTCCCACTCACATCATCGACTTTTCATTGCCAAGCAAAAGGAATAAATGAACATATGTACAATTATGGTCCATTCTATAATCCATATTTTACACGCGTCGCAATGCCAAGACAGAACTTTGTGTGTCTATGAGCTTTCGACCTAAGTACATACAAACAATACTTTATCACAAACAAATGAATATGTTTATGTATTGTGGCCGTCGAGAATCGTAAATACATATGATGGCAGTTCCGCATACATACTTTCATATATGCAGGTATATACTTTCATATATACAGGTGGTATCTGTTAAATAAATATTAGCTTTTCACACGCTAATACAAATGAAGAAATTCATTGGATACGTAACAAAAATCGATAGCGCGAAGGCATATAATGTAAGACACACCTTCGTGTTGTCCACAATCACATGCGCTGCGATAGGCAGGAGGATATTAATGAGCGAGGCGGTAGCTATTTGACCAGAGTCGACAATATCTACCAGACGCGTGAGGGCCCTGATTCTGCGATGCAACTGAATATGGCGGATGTTGGTGAAGAAGTCGGCATCATCTTCATCATTGGGATTGGCCGTTGACAAGACAGCCAAGTCCAGGTAGCTGTCATCCACCTGTGCAGACAAGTATAAAGTATGAGAGCCAGAATGAGTAGGGGGGCAGATCATGGAATAGAGGATACGAGCTAAAACTCTATAACATGTATATGCAGATTTCTAAACGCCATCAAAAATACTTTCAAAGCAAACTACATTAGTTGACTCACATAAAGAAACGATCACAACAGTAAATCGGCACGGCGTCAACCATATCAGCCATACCTTGAATTGCTTGTCAGAGAAAAGCACAATTAATTTCTTGAGGATGAGCAAGTACTCTGAGCGAGAGCCCTCTCGGCCGAATTTGAATGACTTCTTCATAGCCGGGACGATCACTCCCACCACCAATGCTCTATGTGTACTCTCATCACCAGCAGCAAGGTCCTTTGCAGCACGTTCAGCGATCTGTGTTTTGAGAACGAGAAGATATGAGCCACACGATATACGACAACCGCCATAGAATAACAAACATCAATGAAAGACTGTTATGCAAGGAGGTGCGCCATAAGCACCGCACCAGCTCGAATCGGTCCAATATCACATACAACAATCGGTGGTAATATGATATTTACCGCACCAAATGCGAGGAGTGCGTATGAAACGCCACGACTGATCCACCGAGTTTACTGTATTTTGCACTATCGGTTAGAGCACACACACCTGACAAAGTCCGTGAGACGCAACGAAGCGGAGTGAGGTGTCCTCGGTAGTGTTGATCACCTGCACACAGTGATAAGCGACAGGCAGCAGCCCTTGCACGGAAGTCTCAGTGACCAACTGTTCGTTGAATGCGCTGTGTGCGTTTATTCGGATCTCATAATCCGGATCATCTATTCGCTCGTCGTCCATTGCATTCAGCCTTTTAAGAATGTCAGCAACAGGGGCCAAGTCTGTGCACACGTTCGTTGTCTTGTTTGCCATTTCAGCGAAACACTCAGATAGCGCAAGACGATGGCGTGGGTTGGGCATCGTACCAAACAGGCGAGAAAAGTACGCCAGTTGCTTGGGAGTGATGGTATCTACAACCTATTTTTAAAGCAGATCAATTAGAAGAACAATTAGACGGAGCAAGCGAAACCGTATGCATCATTGTAAGACGGGATGTCTGTACAAGAGCAAAGTAACGATATAAAAATAACAGGATCGTCGACTACTGTATATACACTGGAAGTGCAGTACAGTGCGGTACACAGAACAAACGCCCCCCATCCCTCGCTCCTGTTCTAGAGAGACAACTCGAGTCCTAAAACATTTGTAGAAACAGAAATGCTACGCATGAAACCGGAGAAAGAAATACACTATCGGTACCTACCCGGATACAGTGGGCGATGATGTTGAGCGTGTGCAGTTTAGCCTTGTCGTTGACTTCCTTCCTGGACAAGCGCAGGTAAGGACACAGCATCTCAAGCAATCTGGAAGCTGTCTCTTGGTCCTCTGCATACACGCTGATGCATGACAGAATACTCAACTCTCTCTCACTGCCCTTTTGCTCCGCTTTACTTTTGGTAGAGTTATTCTTGCGTACAATCAGCATCCCATTGGCGCGAGCTTCAAGCTGTGAAACCTTCTTCTTTTCAGAGAGAAGCGCTGTGTGCATGTGATTTAGTAGACAGGCCACGTGTGTACGGATGATGTCCCTAGCACACATGCCTGTCCTTTGAATAGCCAATTCCTTTCCAGTGGGTTGATCTTTATGAAGCAGAAAAACAAAGCAAAGTAGCGGCCAAGTATATGAGTACCAGCCGGATACAAATCACCAGATGTTGTTATTATGCAGTAATGCGTTCGCGGACAAACAGTTTCAAGCGCATTCGATGGATATAGAGAAAGACACGAGCGACCGTAAAGATACACCATGGGTTTTTGAGTTGACTACGCATAGCGCACATACCATCAGACTGCATGACATCTCCGCCTTCTGTACATTCATTCTCTGTCTGCTCTCGGTCCAGAAGATTCTCAACAATATCATATACTCGCTTGATGACATTTGCTGACACAGAGGGTGCGCTCAGCAATGCGAACACGCTGGGTAGCACCATGTCTCCGTGCTGTGTGAGTACATAATACTGTGTTGGATGTTCTGAAAGCACAGCAAACAGATCCACCAGTCCAGATGAGTGCTGCAGCGACTCAGCGGCCAGGCGAGGCACTCGCGGCAGGATGATGGACGTGAAAAGCTCGTTATAGATCTGGTGATAGGAATACGTGGTATACGTGGTGAGCTATAGATCTGGTGATATGAATATATCTTATACATAGTAAGACGTTGAAGTCGATGAGTGCTAAATAGTTGTGAAGCAGGCGATTGCCCATGCACTCCCTAAATATGAACATTTGACCAAAATCGAGTACTTACACAGAAACAACTCCCAGTAGATGCGTATTCGGCGTAAAGCCCAAGGCAATAACAGTGCACATGTATCCGCACAGACACAGGATGTTTACATTTACCAGTTTTCACACGATTGCCAAGAAAAGTACCTTGCTGTGGATATCCTCGTGTTCGGTAGGGAAAAGGACAAAGGCAGATTCCAGAGCTTTCACTGCATTTCCCCTCAGTGTCTTGAGCGAGGATGAGAATCTCGGATGAAACACACCACTGGAGGACGCCCTGTCATCATCTGCGTCTAGGTCCATAGCTACACAGTGCGAGGGGAATGTAATCAGTGACCAAAATAGTTCAGCAGCGGCACTTTTTTTTTTTGCATATACTGACAAACATCAGAAGATAAACCGAATATTGAATGCATACATGTCCCTATGCAGGCACAAAATTTGCGACTCAAATTTACTTACAGTCAGCACGGTTCGCTTCCAGCAGGATTGACGCGTTACCAGCGATGCGAACCATCACAGACTCCATGAGTCCCAAATAAGGTATAATTCTGCTTCGCAATTGTTTCATGACATCAGTGACTAGGTGCAGATAACCCTCTTGTGCAGACAATGGAACGCACTTAGTTGCATCGAAGTCTTCGATCGTTCGAGTGCCTGAAAAAAACAACGTGCACGAGTTAGGGAATCTATTATGTAGCATCATATGCACCTACTAGTTAATGGCTACATCCAGCCGCGCGTTATAAAGAATGAATTGATCTCTTTTTGTGTACATGTGCGAGGTATATCCCACTCATAGCACGCGACAGATAGCGAGAGTGATAAAAAAAAAGGTATATCTGCGTGTCGCACAAAAATAAGCACAACGTATATATAGCTACGCCATATCTTGGATAGAAACATGTTAAATCAATAACATACCTTCCCGTCCTTTCACAAAGGACTCCCCGAATCTGGAATGCATGAAATCAATAAACACCTTCAACTCGCTGACCTCCAAACCTGCCAAAAAATTGAGCACTACATGTCTGCGTACGTGCAGCGAGTTCTTGCTCGTGCCTGACCCTTTCCTTCGCATCATGTGAGCGAATAGTATCCGAATGAGGATATTCAAGAAAGCGGGACGGTGTTCTTTTGATACGGGGATGACAGTCTGACTTACTGCCATACCCACACCGTTTCTGCCCACGCCACTGGCACTGTCAAGGTCATCAGATCCACTCATAAGCACGACACTTGTCAGGCTATCCCTGAACTTATCATCGTCCACCAAATCCAGCAAAACGTCCTTCTGAGGCATAAGATACGGGGGCTTGTATGTCAGGAGACACTCCAAGGCATGTTTCTGCACCACAGCGTCGGTCTTTGCTATAAACTCCACGTATAGCGAATGTAGGCGGTCGTGTTCGTAGTGGGAGTTGGGATTGACAAACACTGCGAGTAAGCGCAGGTAGTCAATTAATCGCGTGAGCACTCTCTTCTTCATGCTCTTTGCCTGTTCAACGACTTGCCCCGTAGTCAAAGCCACGGATTCGTCATCCAGATCTTCCACCTCGAGCTGTGCGTTGCTGCCCACCGTAAGGTTCTGAGTGGTCGCTGTGCCGACGTAGACAGTTCGGTACTCGTTGTCGATGAACTGCAGAAACACAGAGATTACATCGCGCGCGTGACGCTCTGCCACGGCGATGACCTCACTGGGTGCGTTGGAGATGGTTTTGAGCAGCAGTGTGTGGTAGTGCAAGTAGTCCACCACAGGCTCACCCTCCTCGCTCGGTGCACTGTCCCTATTGCTGGCGTTCTTGGGCTTGGTATTGGCCGTTCGCTTGTTGTTGTCTTTGGTTTTCCCACCAGCGCCCAGTTTCATGAACGTTGGGATGGCCAGTGTGGTGGCGTAGGCGCTACGCACTATACGCATGATGTCTGCCTCAGCCGATGTGAGCTCAAGAGTATTCATGTGTGGCAATGTCGCGGCGCTGTTTTTGTTTTGGGTGATGGTGACGTGCTCCACGCTTGTATTAAGCTGTTGCATAAATAGGGCCCAGAAGGTAGCGTGATCTCTCAGAGCCTCCTCCCTTAACATCTGTTGTAGGATGCGAATATAATTAACTCGTCTATAAAAAAATACTTGGGCAAAATACAACTTAAAAACCTGTACCAAGTTATTGACATACAACACCAAGCTGATTGAAACAAATGAAATCTAATGTATACGTTACAACAGTCTCAGATTATACGTACGCTCGTACATACGCTCTACTTGGGAGCTTAATACAACTAACACCAGTTTAAAATAGGTATATTACCTCGAAAGCGTTTTCCCAGATCGGCTTCATGGGAATATGCAGAGCACCGAATGCGTATCTCGCCACGCAATCGTCGATCTCTTTGGGTAATCGCCTGTACTTGGACAGCGCCGCGCACCGATTAGCCGCCGCAATGAAGTCTCGGAAGTCAGTTGGCGTCAGAGAGACATCCTCTGCAGCAACCATGTTGGAAAACACATCGCACAACGGCGGTGCTGATTTGTTCTTACCGCCGTCCGATATCGACGCATTCAGCCTGTTAAAACAGTAAAGTGGTTAAAAATGTTGTCAATAAAGCAATACCAGCATAGCAAGGTAAAGACAGTCTATATATAATGCAACTGCTCCAATGGAACACACGGGAGAGCCCACCACACTCCAATACATGTCAACCCAACATATATCACATCAACGGCAAAACTATGGGCCAGTATAGCCACCCCCTTCTTCACACACTTAGAAAGTCTCAGTATAGCCACTCCCTTCTTTACACACTTAGAAAGTCTCAGTATAGCCACCCCCTAATATATACACTTAGGAAATCTCAGTATAGCCACTCCCTTCTTTACACACTTAGAAAGTCTCAGTATAGCCACCCCCTAATATATACACTTAGGAAATCTCAGTATAGCCACTCCCTTCTTTACACACTTAGAAAGTCTCAGTATAGCCACCCCCTAATATATACACTTAGGAAATCTCAGTAAAGCCACCCCCTTCTTTCCACACTTAGAAAGTCTCAATATAGCCACCCTCTTCTTTACACACTTAGAAGGTCTCAGTATAGCCACCCCCCCTTCTATACACACTTAGAAAGTCTCAGTATAGCCACCCCTTTATAAACACACCTAGAAAGTCTTAGTATAGCCACCACCTTCTATACACACTTAGAAAGTCTCAGTATAGCCACCCCCTTATATACAAACTTACAAAGTCCGGGTATATCAGAAAGACAATACCTTGGTTGTTGGTGACTCGCGAGCACCGCAGCTGTCCACTTTCTCAGTTCTCTTTTGGGTGAAGACAAATTAGCCCTTAATACCTGGTACACACTGTACAAGTCAGTGACACCATGGACCTCAGCAAGAACAATGGCTGTGCCTTCTTCATCTACGCAAGAAGGAGTGTGTATGAGACCACGAATCAATACACTGTCACTGGCGAAACTGCTCCAACTTCAGAGTTAATCACAGCAAAGTGTGTACTAAAGACCACTTCTTAAGGCAAGAAACAGCCAGCAAGCTTTACATGGCGTACCCGAGAATAAAAAGCCGAATAAAGATAGTCATAGACGGCCTATGTAAGCATACATCAAGCGATTATGTGCTGGTTGTTGAACGAAAAGCAGTCCACGCACATCCGCATGTGAGAGAGGGATTATACAACGAACACCCAAATCAATTATCTTATTATAATTATAACTATACACGTATCGAACTTACCTTCGTCGTTGCGTTCAACCAAAGCTTCACAATACATCGAATACGATTTCAAAATGGGCCAAGACTGTGGTAAATCGACCAGCACGGCTCGGAAGATATCATCCAGCTCAAGCATCCGCTTTGCATTTGTGTATGTAAGTGTGAAGTGCGTGAGAGTGTCCATGACACTCGACATCACCTGACACATGCTCTCGCACAAGTCAGTCTCGTTATGTTTTTGGACAGCAACCTCTGCGAGCTTAGGGATATAAGCTTCCAAGATGCTGATGACCTCTTTGTACTGTGGCACTTCTATACGATCCAGACAACGTAGCGCTACACACGCGGATGCCAATTCACTCACCGCACGTTCCGACAAATTCTCACCCGTGCACATTCGTGATAGAATGTCTACCACAAGTCCCACCAGTCGTTCAGGAACACTTGCGAGTTTCTGCGCTTTGGCTTTGTTTTTCTTGACGGAAGACTTTTTACCAGGCGTCACACCAGCCACCATGGCACTGTGTGCGGGGAATCGCACACGATTGTTATTAGACACCACTACAGAAGCTGCACGCGAGAGGTCCAAACTATCAAACAGCGTGTGCATGAGTAGCAGGCACTCGCGCCCATGCGCAGAGGTACTCGCGCCCTCGTTATGTGCAAATACCAATGCCGAATCAAAGTACTCTACCAGGGGGGACATGCACAGCTGCGTGAAGATTGGAATCGTGCGCATCTCCAGCATAACGTCGCGCACCTACAAATGGGAATAATAACTCGCGTTGAAAGGCCAATAGTTGGAAGTGATGACCTACAGACGAGTGTTCTAACCAAGAGTACTCCATAGATGCTCACCGCACACACCATGTTTACAGATACACGTGGAGTCGACTTGTATGAACTCAAAAAGTGTGCGTGGGAAGTGATAGAAGTCCAGGATATTTCAATTGCCGATATCAGTTTACAGACAAATTCCATCAGAGCTGTCGTTTGATAAGTCTACACTGCCTAGTCAAGGCTGGTTTAAATATATGAATGCTGAAATATATTCGTATCAAACAAAAGCGATCGCCTGTGGAGCATTACTGTAGTTACGCTCAACAAATATAACTATATATATATATATGAAATCTCGTCGTCATCATTCATTTTTCTAAGTACCAACTACAGATACGCCTAACGACTACGTCGCACTTGAGTATCGCGTCTCCTTTTTCACATTCGTACACATAGTTCTCGAGACGTGCACACACCAGTGAAACATCGGTTTGACTGTTGTGCATGAACAATCCTTTGATCAGCAATGGTGACATAAGAAGCGCGTTCTCAGATGTGTCCACGGACAGAACAGCCACAAGCAGTGCGGCGGCGGCACGCGAGACACCCAACGGAAGCGTATCTATGGAAACGCCTGTCAGTTGAAGCAAAAAGGGAGGCTTGGGTAAATGATCAGGGGGAACTTTCCACGGGCATGGCTAGTTTATAAACTCCGTCAAGTGCTGGTTTGTGATGATGTAAAAGAATAGACTTATAGGACCACGCAGATTATCGTCAACATAAAAGAACAGCAACCGAGACACAGTCGCAACCATAGATGAATAAACACACACGCAGACTAAACACAACCCCACCTGCATCCCCGGCCTGTTTGACATAGTAAGGCTGTAGTGTCCTATAGAGGGTCTCGATCTTTAAAATTCGTCCGCCTTTGTTTTGCGCTGTCCATAACGTAAAGAGGGCCAGCGTATACTGCCACGCCCCCTCCCACAACAACACCGCCTCTGCTTGCTGCTGTTGTTTGTTCTGCAACTGCTTGTACAAGACACCCCACTGTGTCTGACACTCCTCGAGGGCGTGTGCCAGTGCCTCCCACACCACCGCACAGTGCTCCTTGCACGTGTGCTTGGCCATGCTACTGTTGATAGTCTCCACGACTGTGTAGGTCCAGCCGCGCATGTCTCTGCTTGTATCCAGCTCTTCACCTCCGACACTCTCCTCCTCCACGCTTTGCCATTCCTCGTCTGTCGCCATAGTAACCGTATTTTCGGTGATCACTTGTGCTTTCTCGCCTCCCCTACTCAGTCGTTGTATGCGTACATGCTCAGCCTTGTCTCGTTTGAGACTCGTGCGGGTGTGCGTAGGCGCATCCAGCGATGTATGCAGCAAAGCCAGGTAGATGCGGTAGATCTGTGGAGTGCGCGAATGCAAGTGGTTGCCGACGCCTTTCACAACTTCAAAGAGGACTCTGCCTATAGACTGAGCAAACTCGTCACTAGATAACATGTATCCCTGGGATAGCATACTCTTGACGACCTTCTCAAACTTCTCCATGTCCGTGACCTGATGCAAAGTAAGACGGTGCAAAGAAAATAAATCAGGACTCGTTGACTATTTGTGCGTATCAGTCCTACCGCTCGAGTACATAACAACATGAACCGTACCAAAAAAATCAAATACAACCACCTAAATCGCCAAACTAGAAAGACGCATAGTCTACGATGGCTAGATTCCCGACAATGCACAAGCAAACGAAGCAATTACCAAACCAATTTCGTGCAAACGGAAAGTTCCATTAAAACAAACCTTTCTGAGCAAGAAGCCAAAACTCTCAGCCGCATAATTTCGTACGTATAGTGGCTGGCTCGGCACGAGCAGTTGTGTGTATGCAACAAAGACCTTTTCCAGGTCTACTACAAGATATTTGGAAAGGTACTTGAACATGTACGAGAGACAGGTGAATGTTTGCTGTATCCTCTTGGCATCCTTGTTATCATTCAACAAGATTACAAGAGTTTTCAGCACATCATCGAAGTGCTTTGTGAATTCTTGACGGAGATCACGCGACAGAGCTGTAAGTAAACTGCAAAGAACGAATGGAGGTAGTACATTGGTAAGTCAATCGTCGAAGAAGACTTAAAAATGGTGTCCACAGTTGATTCACAATGTCAGATGGGATGATTTTACAGATAACGGACTATACCGAGGTAGCGAGGCCACCAGAGATATATTCGCATTAACACTACTATCGATAACCAAATTTCTGAGATACGTTCCACACTCAGTGTTAGTCCGATGTACTACCATACAAGACCACAAAAAAAACACATACGGTTGAGAATCATCGAATATCAACATCTTCAGCATCGGGAATATCGTGTGACCAATTCAAATTACTCGAATTGTATATACGGTCACAGATAGTCGATAAGCCGGAGTGTTGTGCTAAGCACGTCAAGTTTTCGAGATTCAAATTACTTACATCGATTATAGAATCTACGGGTTCCGATGCTTTCGCAAGCATGCATGTTACTCAAACAGAAGGGAGACTGCTGTTGCGTGCACATACACAATGATTTGCAATACAAAGGCAATATAAATGCATCAGTTTTTCAGGTATGATCAGAATTAGACATGGTTTGAAACATATCTATGTATTCCCACTGTGATGCAGATATACAACAAACCCCGGTCTCGCGGGGCAATCGCGCACAAACAACACCACCCATAAAAACATACATATACGTGTATGTATATACCATACAGGATAATAGGCAAAAACTTACGACACATACAGGGGCACAAGTACACGCGAATCATAAACACACACCAGGATGTTGATCCAGTCATTCAACCCCTCATATACTCAAAACTCTTCATTCACAGAGTATATCAATTTGTATACGAATTTGCTTTCAATAGCAAAGTAAGTACACAGACCGCACGGATATATACAGCCCTTCACAGACGCACTCATATATACAGCCTTATACAGACGGATGCTTGCCAACGGTCATATACATCATATAAATGTATATATGAAAGTATAGCAAATCGATACGTAAACAAGTACGCGTTTTCCAATTCATATATCTGATATATCACACACATATATATAATATATATATGCATACATAAATTCATATACACACACACACACACACACACATATATATATATTTGTATGCGTATGCGAATTATAGCCATATATATACACACAAAAAACAAACAAACACGTATATATACGTATAAACATATTATATACACACACACGCACACACACATATATATATCTATACACACACACACACACACACACGTATATATATATATATATATATATACACATACATACATAGATACATACATGCAGACACACAAACACACACACACACACACATACATACACATATATATATACACACACACACACACACATACACACACACGTATATATATATATATATATACATACATACACATACATACATACATACATGCATACACACACACGTATATATATATATATATACATACATACATACATGCATACACACACACACACATATATATATATACATGTTACTGAAATTTGCCATAAAAATGAAGGCAATCAAGCGAAACCTTGGAGATACTCTAATACGCATCGCCAACACGTTCAGTAATCACCAACACATTCTTCATTTCCACGAAAACTATTTTCGATGAATAACTAGGCGCGATTCTACAAATTGTAGTATGTAACAGTACAAGTACACCTAACGTTTACACACGACTTACATCAGCAGTGGTTCCGTGGCCATTGACTCTTCGACTTGGAGATGTTTCAGAAGGACATTAAGTACTTTATCCTGATTATACAGCAGCAAGTTAAAACTCGCCACCAATGGAAGTAGCTCCACCACCGCATTACTAAAATGAAGTGTGCAATTGAGCTCTTTCCACTTATCCAGTTCTTCCAAGAAGAAACTTTCCCTTTCGGAGGGCAACTCAGTGTCTTTGCCCACTCTGTGCACCACAGTGATCTTCACATTTGCGATCTGCTCCGAAAACGACTGGAATTTAAATTTGTTGGTGCCCTTGGCAGGGTTCTCGTTGAGAAGCTTCGGCTTGATAGTATCACGCATGTCGAAATATGTATTTGGTTGCTGGGTAAGGTTATGTGTAGTTAGTTTTAGCTGTTGCGTTGATTCAAAACTATTTCGGTAGCGTGACTGGCGAGATTACAAGCGGCAATATCTCACCGTCTTATTGTCCCTGCATCTGGATCAGTATATGTTTGCGACGCGCTTGTGAGTTGGAGAATATGTGCGTGTTCACTGTTGAGACACAATCAGCAGGAAAGACGGGAGTATTATATAGTCTTACGTGTATAGTGGTCGACTCTCCTACTCATGCTATACTATAAGTTCATTCCGCGGTGCATGGTGTGATAATCGATAAAAAGGCTTATCGTTATTACAGAGCAGGCCAGGTACACGTGCGACTGACCTTGGGTTTATAAAACGGTTTTATAAATGTTGTTACATTGTTGGGTTTATAAAACGGGTTTGTAAAATTGTTGGGGTTTTAGGCTCATTCGTTACCGGTGTTATGTACTCTGTTGTGCGCGAAATCAAATCCGTTAGTGTACAAATAGTCGTAAATCGTAATAGATAGAGTGTAAGCCTCGCAGTGTATGTAAGAGAGTCAGTACGCGCAGTCTACGATATTACTCACTACATAAATTGAATAGCGGAGTGCGCAATATATAGCTACGTTACCGTATACTTGATCGTTATATTTCTTATTGTCTCGAGGACTGCCCCAGATACCATTTTCTCGAGCATTATATAATTAGCCTGACGCTCAGGGCACACGCACGTGCTTTATATACGATTGATTGCTATCCTTCTCAATACTGAAGTACTCACGAACATAATTTTTTTATGTACCTTTGATTACCGTGTTTTTGTGTGTGGTTATTTTCCTTATAGTTGCACACATCGTTCAAAGCCATCTGTGACTATAGAGGCGTGTTTTTATATGGATACACACCACACCGTACACTCAATATTATATAAATGAATGCACAAGACAGCTTCGCGGGCTTACAAGATGTGCTCCCACAACCAAGGCCCGTTAGCAGGCGTCGCAGGAAGTTTGATCGCAGAGGCGATGAAGATAGAAAGAGCAAGGAGGAGATGGACAAGCTGCTTGTCTTTGGCTACGCATGCACACTCGTAGACAACCCAACAGTCGCACAGGACATCGACCACGGGAAGTACTTGGGTCCATGTATGGCCGACGAGAGTCTGCTGGTGGATAGGCATGACGTCAGGCACAATGTGAGCGACCTAAATAGGTTCAAAGCGATCAAGAAAAAACTGAAGGGCATTCCCAGGAGCGAACGGGGGAGTGAGGAGGAACGCGTGGTGTACAAGCTGTGTGATGCGATGCGCAAAGAACCTTATGAGCAAGCGCTTCTGAAGAAGGCACAGGAAGAACGAGATCAAGAAGTGAGGAATAAGCAAGAGACACTTGACCACACCAGTGGCAATGTGTTCCACTATAATTATGGAGAGGGCAGCGGTTCGAGTGCACACGCACGTGATGCTGGAGGAGTAGCACAAGCGCCCACACTTGAACAGGTGGCTCGATTTTCAGGCCCAACAGCGATGTCTGTGTTGCACGGGGAGTGTACGGAGGTGGGGCAAAAGCCCATGTCATATCAACTACCATTCACACTGCCGAGGGATTTATGCGCACCTGCGCTGAGAGGCGTACATGAGATCATAGTTAGCGCAGCTGAGTTCCTAGAGGCGAATTCGATGCAGGCCGAGATTGCGCTCAAAGCAAGTGTTGACAGCAATCCCTTGATAGCATTCGTAACAACCGGTCATGGGTTGCATGGGTATTATAAGTTTGCCAGAGAGCGTGTGCGTACGGGCAAAATAGTGGCACTGGATATGGAGATCGAAGACGAGCCAGACACTGACATGCAGGTGGATGGCATCGACACCAAGGTGGGCATGGGAGGCAGCGAGAGCGAAGTAGCGAGAGATGAGCGTACAACCAGTGAGACAGTAGGCGAAGGTAAGTTGGTTTCCGAGGACGGTGCCATTTCTAATGGTCATAAAATACTAGCGCACGAAGACGCAGATGACGAGGTTGGCGAAATTGTGAATCCGGAGAGTGGGAGTAGTGGTAAGACCATGCCAGATACTGTCGATGAGATGCACAAGCTCGTCGACGACCTGTTGGAACCAACAGCACACAAACCTGCAATGGGCCTAGACGACTGCATGGCTGCTGTGGGCGCTTTTGTAAGCAATGGCATAGCTGCATCTCAGGCGGATAATAGTGGCAAACCCAAAACAGTAATGGATACAGTGTCTGCCTTGGTTGCGTATGGAGAGTATTCCGATTCGTCTGATGATGGCGACAGTGATGAGAACGAAGCCGCAATTGTCGGAGGTGTGGATCCACAAGCAATCGATGTGAGCGTAAGTGTAGCTGAAAATGGTGCATGTGAGCGCTCAGATGATAACGCAGTAGACGTGATGCATGGTAGTAGTCCACAGGTAGGGGGCGGTCTGGTGGGATACAGAGGCATTGCCAACACAGACAGCGCTGACAGTCAATCGAGTGAAGAGGAAGGCGAGATATCGGCAGCCTCGCATACAGTGCAAAATTCACTTGGCGTGCGTGATGATGAGTTAGAAGATCCAAAATTCAAATCTGAAGATGAGAGCGGTGACTCTACACGCGTTGCTAAGCTGCGAAGGAAGATAAAGGAAACAAATGGTACGTCATCAGGAGAAACAGAGACTGAAGGGATTTTATCCGATGCGTTGGAGGCTGTGGAGCAAAGTGAATCCACTGAAAGAACGAATAGCACAGCTGAAGACTTGAGCAGGTTACAGAGACCTGTCAGTGTTGAAAATGACACTATTGAAGGAACAGACAACACAGCTGAAAACGCGAGCAAGAGACGGAGATCAGTCAATGTAGAGACAGAGGATGAGGAGAGCAAGATGAAGAACAACGATGACGATAAGGTGGTCAGCGAAGGACTAAGCATATCAACGGCAGTCAATGAGCTATATGAGGGTGGAGGGAACGAGACTGCCCTGGAGGAGAATGAGTCTATGGGTAGCACAGGTACCACGAAGTTAGGTGTCGATACAAAGGCAACGACATCGGGGAAGGCTAAAAGAGATAGCAGACGTGTAACTGACAAAGAGAGCGCAACACACGAGCCAGACAGCCCAACAAGTGAGGAGGAGGGCGAAATCTTTGAGAAGGTAGACAAAGTGAAACTCACGAAACCACCAACAGCGGTTGCAGACGTGAACAACGCGACTGAAAAGGCGATGACCAAGATCGAGATTGACAGTTCTAAATCAGACGTGGAAATGGATAGCTTATCTGTGAACAAGATGAACAAGATCAAGTATGTTAGTAGCAACAAGGAGCACGAGAATGCGACTGAGGGTACGTCAACAGCTAACGATGGAGGGGAGATGGCGGTTACAGAAGATGGAGCTGCCAGTCAAGATGCTCAATCCACTGCGAGTAAAGTGAGCGACACAGAGTTACATGTCGGGCAGGCGCAACACAAGAAACGGAAAGCAAATGCAGTGGGTGTAGCGGATTCTTTGGATGCAGAAGATACTAAGCGCTCTGGTCGAGGCAAACGGCACAAGCGAACAAAATAAAGTGCAGCTGGACAGGTGTACCCTCAGTATTGCAACATGTTGCCTGTATTCTCGATATATATAAAAGTTTGAGGGATTTCCTGATTAATATGGAAGTCTTGCTCTGAGTGTGATGACCTCTTCATAGCGCTTTTAAGCGGGTCACGCCTGTAGGACAAATATAACTACAATACGATCCCACAACGCGAAAACCACAAATTATCACGTTCCAGTTTAGAAGTCGCTTCTGTTCCCTCTAGTCTATTTACCATTTTTTTTATTCGCAACGGAAACATACAGCCTGCCCCCCCCCCCCTCTTTCATAAGCACAGGTGCTAACTTGTATAATTGAAATTCAAAATTTACTTCTGTTCTCTAACATTCCTTATTTATTCATATGCCACTGGCACTGTGCCGTTGGTCCATGCGTCGGTCTATCTTCATGATTTTGCATACATTGTCGTGTATGATCTTCTCTTGCTTTTCTATCATCGCCTATCAAAGTCGATTTCTGAGAGGTCTTGGTGATTTTCATTGATATGCCACCTGTCAGATCAAGCTATCGGTATACTGCGCGAGTAGCTGTTTGCAAAGCAAAGGTTCCATATTTTCCATTTTTCCATCTCTATTATCTCAGCGATGATCGAACGAATCTCTCATACACCTGACAATACTTTCCTGTCAGATGGTGGCGTTCGCATATAATCAAGATCATCAACCCTGCTGGAAGTCAAATGCGATGCGACGAGTGAAGCACCGCTCTCTTCTGCATCAGTATAAACTTAGCTGTCATCAGCGAGCAAAGGGCTGGCCTGCAAAGTCATTGCAGCCATATGGTCTGATGTTGTCCAATGAGAGTCCATGCACAACACCTGCACTACCCCTGAAGCCAATGAAATCGATGCGCACATATTTGATCGGGTGTGTGCTGGTCGAAGTCACTACAAACTCCCATGGATTGAAGGCCAGAGCATTCATGGTGCAGTTTTGTTCCTCAGAGCCTTTGGGGGAATGTAAACTGCCTGTGGGTTGAAATAACACATGTGGCGATGTGAGTGTCAGTTGATAGAACTCCATGGATTCAGAAGATGGAAATGATGAGGAATCCATTAGAATGTGAATAAGTCTCGTACCTGATGTTCTGTGTTGGACTAGTGATATATATAGTTGATCTGCGATAGATCACGACAAATCTATAATATATTTTCTAAATTTATAAGTATCTACGACAATAGCTTTTTGAATTTATAAGTATTTACGACATCAATCATTGATTTTAGTGCTATCATCATTATAGCGGTGTGTGATGTAACTTCAAAATATCTCTTGCTGATTACTAGTTTAATACATAGATGTGATCGAGTTGGTACAAATCAAGGGTCCGGTACTAGCACACACTCGCAGATGAGTTTGAACTCTTGTTGTTGTCATTATCAACTTACCAACTGGTCGATAATACTAATCGTAGGAACTGATGTACCATTGCGAGGTGAAAGGATTGAATTCTCCACTGCCCTGTCTCTGCCTGATGTCGTATATATACGCAGCCAGCTCATTGGTGGGGTTGTTGTCTGGAAGTACGATAAGTATGAATGCTCGATTGGTACTGCTGCCCAGGGAGGTGCGTATCATCCACTCTCCTACAGTGCCCAGTCCATCGGTGTCTGCAGTCGTGGGGCAGTTGTCTAGCTCATCACCAGCTGAGAATGCATTCGGTGCACTTGTATCAAGAGCGGACTCCAGCTGTCCATTCGAGAGGTTGAACGCAGTGGTGTCAGCTGTGGTTCACACTAATAAATTACAGAGAGATATGTTTTTCTCACTAAGTGCTGCACACTAAGTTATACATTCAGAATACGAAAGATTTTAGTGCAGTATTTAGCAGAAAACAGTACTTTGACCGACAGTTAAAGTACCTTGACAGTTTCGTACGGCACACTCGATGAGCCTGTAGGCACCCAGGCAGTGAAAGTACCAGGGTAAACCAGATCGGAACTCAATGTCTGAGATAAGGCTGACTGCTTCATCATCATCAGCTAGCACATACCCTTGATCCTATCATTCAGGGTGTGAAGCGATCTAGTGAGTAATAACTACAGCAATCCCATGTATGGCAGTAGTATAGACGGAGAACCTTCACAATAACAGCAAATGTGTGAGCATAAGCAAAGGAAATGAACACGTGCATCTCCACTGTCACTACTGGTTGAAATCGATTAACTTGTACGTCAATGCCATAGTTTTCCCTTGTGCCAAATGCCATGTTTTCTCTTGTGCTGTACCAAGTACACTATAATAATATGAAAATGACCAAACATATCTGTTTCCCTACACAGCAACGGTTATTCCGTCTACGTACACACATTCAAGCGTATAGGCACACACAAAGTCAATGCAATGTTGCCGACTAGTTTTCGGTTGAAGAGTCCCGAGCGCCTAGCCAGGACTCAAAAGTAGCATAAGTATACGATGTCGTACCTCACGAGGGAAAAACTCTGAGGTGGGATATCGTACAGTAATAATGCATGACACAAAAGTGTAAGTCAGTAAAGCTATAAACAAATTTCGATCCCACCCGCACCTCGAAATCGATCAGCTCGTTATCCCGGGTACACATTAGTGAATTGGTAGCTGCCACCTCACCGCCGTTTTGGCAGCACAATGCGACGTGCAAATGTGTCGTCAGGAAAGGCTATAGATTCAATATTTGCCTTAGGATTCGATCCAGCTGTTAGGGAGCAGCTCTGCTGGTCTTGTACCATCCACAGAAAGCATGTCGCATATGTGCATGTGTATGCAAAGAAGATACGGCGAGAGATTAGATATATGCCTTTGCACACATTTGATCTTTGAGTGCATGCCAGCTGACACTGCTTATATCATGATATTTATGTTGTTGCGCAACACCTCCAGGACACTCATGCAACAGTAGCGATGAACTTTTAATCTCGTTTGGTGGCGATGAATGAGGACGTGCTAAACCCTAGACATGTGTGAAGTCACACTTATACGTGCAAGCTCAAGCCTTGCGCTCGAGGAAAATGTCCAATCCCATCTCTATCGAATGGGAAGTCCACAGCGGTACACCATTTCATTTGAGATACTTACCGCTGTACAGCACGACTCTGCGCAGCCCCGTTCGGGGTCGCAGTTGCCTTGGTTACCCGAATTTCTAAGTGTACCGTCGGGACAGTTTGCGGCCAAATGGTAGTCAGCACACTTGGCAGGGTCTGAGAAGAAAACCATACAATAAAATTCCGTGGATAAAATTAGTCAGATTGAACAAGGGTAAACAGAAATGATGGGATGCTACATAGCCTATCACAGGCAAGGGCCTTTGCTCTCCCATCAGTTCTAAAATAGATATCAGAAATGATATGGCTTGGGAAATATGACTCGCAGCTTAAGCAAGTAGAATTTTAAAATCCGTGGGAAACAGAGAGACATACCTCCAGCATACGCCACGCAATTGAACCCGTCGGAGTTATCTGGGTCGCGGTAGCCGGTGGGATTACACTCACAGGTGTAATCTGCGCCCACATGGTTTACACATACAACAGTATCGCCTTCGTTTTCACATTCAATGATTGCGGCAGAGTCGCATTCGTCAATATCTGAACATTCCGAGAGGAATCACAATGGGTTTTGTAAGTTTAATCGTCAGCAATTGTATTTAACGAAAACAAGAGTATACATGCAATTGATAACCCGATACGATCAGTTCATGTTTGTATTTTTTTCTCTCACTTTCGTGTACAAAGAAGAGTTTGTGCAGTTTCACAACCCAAACCTAGCGCAGCGTATTTCTTAATGTCCGAATGTCGTGCACTCGCCCCTAAAATGTACAGCGATACGTGGTCTCGACACAAGAAGATGTACAACCTAGCGGATGTACTGAGTAGTCCCCAAGCACACTGTAACAGAGTCAGCTCTAAGCAATCGAGTACAACGGAAAACGTAGAACGAAGATTGTGTCGCGTGACACTACTGAGGCAAAACCGGATACCTGTGTAGATAAGTCCATCGCCTGTCCAGAATTCATCGCATGCACATTCAAAGCTCCCGTCGGTGTTTGTACACTGAGCATTCTCATCGCAATTGTGCGTATTGACCAGGCATTTGTTTATATCTACGAGATTGCATAATGATGTTGTACAACGAAAGTATACATGCCGATTTCAAATGTTTTGTAATATATCCGGGCAACAAGCTGATCCTGTATTGTTCAAGGGTACCTACCTGTGCATGTATGCCCAATTCCTGTGTAGCCACTGTTACACGCACACGTAAAGCCCCCGTCTGTGTTTGTACACGTTGCATTGGAGTGACAGTTGTGCGTGTCGAGTGCACACTCATCCTTATCTGTCAAGTATTGAAATTTCGGACCATTATCATAGAAATTGAGTTCTCAAACAGCTAGGTACATAATTTACAGAAGGGTTGTGACAGGGACATTGATAAGCTCCAACAATCCCAGGCTAAAGACGCATAATATGTACGAGAACTTTCATAGTTGTTATGTGAAACAATAAGGCTGGAGTGATAACAACAGACTATCAGCTGATCATGAACTACCTATGGATGCGAAACAGCAACAGTCCGTCGCACGAGAACTTTAAGAGTTGTTATGTGAATTGATAAGGCAGGAGTAATAACAACAGACTAATAGCTGATCATGAACTACCTATGGATGCGAAACAGCAATAGTCGGTGTTCACATATTCCTCAGCAAATTCAATCAAAGGATGACTACTGTTGAAATTCTCGATGCCTTGGTAAGGAATGTGCTCGTGCAGCGCAGCACTTCCAATACAAACTTCTGCTTACCTATGCAGGTGACACCGTCGCCAATGTGGAACTCATCGCAAGTACATTCAAAACTGCCGACAGTATTTGTACAAATAGCGTTCATATCGTAGTTGTCTGCACCGGCCAAACACTCATTCACATCTGTGAGAGTATGACAGTATACGTATTAGTAAAACATTTCAAGCAGCACAAATACTCAGTTCGAGCAGCACAAATACTCCATTCGAGCAGCGATTAGTGCCTGAGAGAACTCTCAAACATAACCAGAAAACTACGTGCATTTGTACGACCGAGAGGGTTTACCTTCACACGTAGTACCACTTCCTGCGTAGCCACTGTTGTATGTACAGGTGTAACTGCCGTCTATGTTCCCACACGTTGTGCGTGCCGAGTGCACATTCATCCGTGTCTGTTCGGCAATATACATAAATGTCAAATGGTTGTACATGTTGACGATATTCATGGTCAGTATTTACAGACATATCTAGAACAACTGTAGGTGCCTGGAAAAAGACTCAACTCCAAAAGGACTTAAGTGTGTAGATGGCTTAGGAGATGTGCGAGCCAAGTATTCAAGCAGTGTTTAGTCGGCAATGGATGCACAACAATGGGCTTGATGTATAACAATATGTGCTTTGTTAGACGACTATATGTATGCTACACACCTGAACATCAACTGAATAACACTGAATAACACCTATTACATAAGCTACTGTAAACTACAATATTAACACAAAACGGACAATTTAAACGAGTTCATGGAAGGTATTCGTCCGCCAATACATAAATTGAAACACGGTGCTTATGGAAAATCTAGTTCAATCTATGTCGCATTAGACAGCTTTATATCTATTTGATTTGTCACACGCTGTTTTCATACAGTTGATGTTTCTTTTGGGTCATATAGACACGCGGCTGAATTGAATAATGATTGAGACTCACATACATACCTACACATGTGTGCGGACCACTAGATTGGTACCCATGATTGCACATGCACTCAAAGGAGGGTACCAGATTTCTACAGAAGGATATGGTGCTATCGCAGCTGTCCAAATCTTATGCACACTCGTCAATGTCTAATTCGGCGGAGAGCAGTAGAAGAGAGGAGGGAATAAGAAATTCGGTACTAAACCTACATGGATTGAAAATATCTTTTGTGGGTAGAATAATCTGTATGGGGCATATCCAAAGCAATGCACAGTATTCTCGAGAGCGGTGACTGGTTCTGGCGTACGCTGACAGTGTTGTACAACTCAAAAGCGTGACATTCAGCAGTCTAGCACTTAATGGGCCAAAAGCATTGTTTATAGTACAAATGGTCTCACTGAATTAACACTAATTATTGTTGTTCGCAACTGCTCGTAGACGAGCGCATTGGAAGCACATCACTTACCCGTGCAGCCAATTTTTCCATCGCCCTCGAGACCCTCATCACACAGGCACTCATAGTCATTGGGTACGTCGTTGCACGTCGAATTGGTCTGACACACAGCCGTACCTTCAGCACATTCATCAAAGTCCAGGGCATTGACGATACAGTTCTTGCCGTCTCCCACATACCCCTCGTTGCAAAAGCACGAGTAGCCAGTCGGAGTACTTGTGCACACGGCATACTGACTGCAATCGTCTAGTTCCGGGGCGCATTCATCAAGACCTGCAGTGTTTTGTTGTTTTGAGATCGATGGTGTACTGGTCTGGAGCTTGACATACATCGTATACTGTTTGTGAGTACTAAATGAACCCCAATGCATATATCACGGAGAACTTAACCCGGACAGTGCAAGGTAGGTCGATGAAGTCAAACACAAAAGTTTGCCTGTTCTTGTATATTGTCATGTGCACATCAATACATTATCTACCAATTTGTTCGTATCAGAATATGTACAATGCGTGTCAATTCATTCGTACAAGACTGACAGTTCAGTCCTGGAACCTACTCATTCTTTGCTTAATCATTCTCACAGTTTTAAACGAGGGGGCGACTAATGCGTTTGTAATCTATCTTGAAATGCTACACGTAGAGTAGACTATGTGTACATACCTTGTATTTCCTGACTATTGTTATCCTTTCCCGTGCCCAGACTCAAGTCCAGGACAATAGCAAATATGATGATAACATGACTTACGGCTAAGACGAGTACCAGCTTCCTCTTCATGCAGAGACGAAATATGGAATATTATATAGAAACCCACATCAGCAGTTGAGCTAAGCAAGCTACCACAAATTTATATATAGTGTAGTACTTTACCTTGAGATGATTTAAGTTGATATATTACCGCCGTCAAGCATGTAACCCTTCGTTCTACTAGAGTAAACAGATACGCAATGCTTTATCAGCCGTGGAAGTGCAAAATGTCGCAATGCCAAACAGCGCGAACGGCGGCTCTGTAAAACAATTTGTTCATTAAAAAAATTCTTATCGATTTGATCTCCATGAATGTTTAGTTGAATGCCAATGAAAAGTTGCCGCCTAATCAATACAGTGTGCTAAGCAATTGTACTGGAAATGAGTTATTTCAAGCAACAACAGGAGTTTTTACTTTTTTTATGTAAACAAAACAAAACAAAAACTTTATAAACAAATTGGTCAATCATGATGCGTCTATTTACGTAGCCTTCTAAATTAAACTATGTATTTAAAAAAAGAATACGTGTTGTGTGACTTGTGACTTGTGACTTGTGTATATATACTTTATAATTCAAAAGTTTTTACTTGATGTATACTATGTATTTATAATATTGAGAGTTTTTAAAAGTTTGAATAATAGAAAAAAATATAATAAATTAAATAAATAACCTTCTAAAAAATAGAGACAGAAGGCTAAATATTATTATTTTTTAATAAAATTAATGTATAAAAACAATGTAAAAAAATACTGTTTATAAAAAACAGGACAGTAAATACTGACTTGTGTGGGTTGTGCTGGACGACGGACGTGCAACTACACAATATGTAAATATGTGTTTCCATTTAAGAAGCCCTGAAGGCTATGCAATATGCAAGAATTTGTGATGACTCACGTGGTCAATGTATTTGATCACCAACCTACTACAGGACGGTATAGGACTACAGGTACACTATTATCATACTTTTAAAAACAGGTACAATAGATCTATTATTATCACTAGATCTACTACTGTTACACTTTGTGAAATAACAGGCACATCAAATCTATTATCACACTTTGTCCAATAACAGGTACACTAGATCTATTATTACACTTTGTGAAATAACAGGTACACTAGATCTATTATTACACTTTGTGAAATAACAGGTACACTAGATCTACTATTAACACTTTTCGAAATAACAGATAAACTAAACCTAATATAGCACTGTGAAATAGCGCTAGTACAGCAGGCGAGAAAGCACTTTTGAATACCATGCAGTTATATCTTGGTTGTCAGTATCTGTATCCGCTCTTCCCCGTTTTCCACTTGTATTCCGTAATAGAAAGTGTATTGGCAGCTCGTAAAGCAGTCTTTACCACGCGATAACCACATACATAGAGCACCAAGTTTATTGACCTTAGTCGTATACTAAAACGAGGGTTGACCTGTGATATATCGTTTCTGCATTTCGAACGCCAATAAAGCTACATCAAAAAAATGGACCGGAAACTAGCATTCGTGGCAAAGACCCTTCGAGCAGCGCCTTCACCCCCTCATTCGTAAGAGACTGCTTAAAACAATATCTCATTGATTTATACGAAGATCCTTCGGACTGAAAGCGTGTTTTTATCGTATCGGCGGGAGCATACATGCGAATACAGCTACATCACCTGCTATGCTACCAGCCATAATAATTGAAAGATTCCTGCTACGCCTCTCTCATGGGCGAACTCGTCGCGGAGCGTGGCGTAAAGGGGGAAGAATACTATCGAGTACGGCACATCGCGCATCGTGACAAGTATGCCTACATTGTAGGAAAAATCATAGAGAGATACGAGCGCGTGTGGGAAACATATGCTTGTTAGTCACGAGAGATGTAGAGCATCTCTATACAAAGTGTGACGGCCTCAATATAAAGTGCCTACCTACTGACCTGAAAGACCTGTTGACCTATATATAGAGTTATTCCAAACAATTCACCCTCTTCTGTTACCAGCATCTGTATCCGCTCACTCCGTCTTTTACTTGTATCTCGGATTAGAAAGTGCATTAGCAACTAATATAGCAGTCTTTGCTTTGCGATAACCCAAACATAGAGAATCTATTTTATTGATTTTGGTCATAAATTAAAACAAGGGTTGACCTGTGATATATCTCTTCTGCATTTCGAAAGCCAATAAAGCTACACCAAACAATGGTCCCGTAACCAGCATTCGTGGCACCGACCCTTTGAACAGCGCCTTCACCCCTTCATTCTTTACAGTTTGCTTAAAACAATCTCCGATTGATTTATATGAAGAGCCTTCGGACTGGAAACGTGTTTTTATCGTATCGGCGGGAGTACAAGCGAATGCAGCTACAGCACCTGCTATGTTACCAGCCATAATAATTTGCGGGATCCCTGCTACGCCTCTCTCATCGGCGAACTTGTCGCGGAGTGTGGCGTATAGGGGGAAGAATACTATCGAGTACGGCACATCACGCATCCAGGTGACGAGTATGCCTACATAGTAGAAAAAACCATAAAGAGTAACGGGCGCGTGTGTGAAACATATACTTGTTAGTCAAGTGAGATGGAAAGCATCTCTATATAGCGTGTGACGGCTTAAATATCAGTACCGACATGACAAAAGATCAAGCTTCCGCGCGAGCACTGAACAAAAGTATTTCTAGAGCGAGCTGGTAAATGACATTGTGATAAATCGTAGTACCTTATACAAACTCTGGTTGCCATCAACTCCATACTCTATAGTCTAGGTACATTCATGATGATCCGACATACAAGAACTATAGAGATCACGACACAGCAACAAGCTTCACCATATTCCTGAAACCACGACAAGTGGCATACATAGAAAACAGTGATAGCCTATGTTTAAACAAGAACACCAAGTGACACCCCAAAGCACTCAAACTCAAATAGTGGAATCGTCAAAGAGTTAGCACATGAAAATATGAACAAATTTTAAAAACACCAATAAATGATGAAAAATAGATAAAGTTGCTCATCCCAATTTCAAAACAAGTGCCTATATACACTTGAACACTCTTCTTCCCCTTCACTGAAACACTGACGCGAAGTGCACGGTTTGAAACCCCCATACTTCAAATTGAATGAAGAGAATAAAACCAACAGCATATAGCCTATATTTTAGGCAGAAAATCTCGACGAAATCACCAATCATATCTGAATATCATATGAATATAGGCGATACCATAACTGAAAAGTATTATAAAGGTTACCATATAAGGCAGTATACTCAAAATCATCAGACACTGGCGTTCACAATATATTTAATTCATTGCATCCAAGCTTGCCTCCTGATTTCATATCAATAGTGTCCCTGACTTTGGCATACATACGTGTACGACAGGACAACGCGCTCGTCTAAACCAGCAACAAACACACGCAACAAGAACTCCCTGGACTAACACATACCTTTATACAGCCCTTTTACTCCGAGATTCTTTACCACCTGTATGGTGCCCAGTCGTTGTTCAACCGGTTTCATATTCTGTAACTGCATACGTAGCTTGACTATCTCCATCGGATTGGTTGCGCTGACCTGAAAAAACCCTGCAGACGCCCCAGCAATGATTTGGTTGCTTATACTAATTTTACCTGTGACTGGATCTGTTAGCAACTCCCTCACACCGTCGTTGACACTTAGCTTGATAGCCTTCTCGGGCATAACCCCTATAAGATTACTCGTAAGACCCTTGTAGAGACTTCGGAAACCCTCTTTTCCCACAATCGTCTTGAAAGCATGAACAATACCAGTGTACGGAAGTTTTCCCGTTTTGACATCGGGCTTCTGTGCTTGCAGACGAGTCTTGACAACATCGACAGGGAATATAAAACATGTACCAACAACCCCTGCCAAAGCTCCTACAGCCAGCTTTTGGGTCATCGGGATATGTGGGGCTAGCTGTGCTACAACAGCAGATTCTATTTGATTTGATGTCGCCATGATGTCACTTTTAATCACAAAAAGATATGTATGTGAATTGCGCAGGCGGAGGTTTGAGATTCGCTTTGATAGTTCCACAGAGGGCCTTTTTAAGTCTTCTGTACTTGAAGAGATCTTCTATTCGAGGTATTATAACAGCTAGCTTGCAACACTGCACTTCTTGTACGCCTCAGAAACAGTTGACTGTGTATGTATGTGTATGTACCCTCTGAAAATCTCATGTGTACTGTTGTGTACACATTTGTAACAATTTTGAACAAGCGACAGTCGTCAAATTGTTTTATAGAATGAACAGTTGATTACTACTCTGAACTCATTCAACCTTCTGATTTTTATTAATTTATAAAAATAATAGAAACAAAATCGTACAGATGTAAAATAAATACCCAAAAGTGTTCACAGTTTCACACTTCACGCGTGGTGGTATGCAGGTAAAAACCTTTTTAGGCTGTGAGCTAAACTGTGCGAGCATTTAAGTCTGTCACCCCCTGTGTCTGTTCACTGTGATCACTGATCAGAGTCCCCTCACCGGCTCACACTGTGAGTCAGGGACACTTAACGACCTGGGCCCTGGACTCCTGGGCCCTGGCCCCTGGCTAAGAGATGACAATCAGACAATATCATTATATCACTGATCGAGAATAGTGATCAGTGTGACGAACTGATAGTGAACAGTGTGACAAACTGACTCTGCTATGGCCTGTGAGGTTGTGATTGACTGATATCACGGATCGAGAATAGTGATCAGTGTGACAAATTAATAGTGAACAGTGTGACAAACGGACACTGGTATGGCCTGTGTAGTGACCAAACTGACACTGCTATGGCCTGTGAGGTTGTGATTGACTGATTAAAAAAACGCAGAGTCATCACTCATCACTCATCACTAATCACACTTCACAGACTCATCACTCACAGTCTGAGTTAAATACAGTACAGAGTTACAGACTCACAGTCGCACAGAGGATAAATACTGTTCAGAGTTGCAGACTCACACTCTCTCAGTCTCACAGAGTCACAGTCACAGAGTCACAGACTCACAGACTCACAGACTCACAGTCTCACAAGTCACAGAGTCATATGTAGACTCACAGTCTCAACTCTCAACTCTCACACACCCTGTCACACAGTCAATCAGTCAATCACTCATCACTGATCTGTCATACAATTAATCAATCACCGACCCCACCGCGAATGTTCAATTTATATTTTATATTTTAGAAGGCTATGGAATATCGAATTCACGATCCACTATCAGTTTATATTCACGCGTATAGTATTGCTGCCTCTCGGGGGCTGAGGCTTGAGAGTTGGGGCCTTTGGGCTATAGGCCGGGTGCCCCGGGCCTTCTCTCTGGGCTGGCACTTGGCACTTTGGCAGGCTGGGGCCCGCTGGGCTTGGCACTAGGCCTGGCAGCCTGGCAGGCAGCCTGGCACTCATTATGATTGCAGGCTGCCTGCCTGCTAGGGGGTAAAAAATCATATATGTACAGTCAAACCACTATAACTGTCTACCTCTTTAAATGTCCACTTTTCAATAGGGGTGACCCCATATATATATTTGGACTATTTTACTTTATTTTACATATTGTGATGGAGTACAGCCTGGAAAGACTATGAGTAAATATAATTAAGCAAGTCGAAGTATCTGAAGTGTTTTGCTCTGATACTGTCCCACAGGTTATAGCTCAACAGGTCAGCGCCAAGCTCAATACGTTATGGGTGTACTGATTTATAATTAAACGTTAATGTTTATTATCATGTCGTATAAACCTTTTTTTTTTAAACGGGTTCAACGCTAATATAGGACCAACGAACCCCCCAATATTGCACTTCGAATATGTACCTAAAACTCATGAAATGGGCTATAGCAGCTGTTTCGATCGATCATAAACTAGCATTGAATGTCATGAAGCATTTCCTAGTTCCAACTGATAGCACATTTTCCCAACAACTTTTACAATTACCAAACAGTGGCGTTTATAGTTTACACAAACACAAACACACATACAAATTACGGCAGACCTGCAGGCTGAGCCTACAGACTACACAGTATACACAAGTACAACACTATTCCACACAATTATAGCTATATATGCCTGAAGCCGCTTAGCTGTCAGTGACGAACAAACATCATGCCAACATACGAAGAAGCAAGTAATACTACATGCCCAATAGACTTGACCACTACACCAATTATTGGCAGGTCAAATTCCCCGCGAGCATGTGGGACAAATCTGTGGACCTAGAAATAGCACCTCCATGAAAATTCAGAGGACCATATATGTAATAAAAACTGAGCTTTGTTTTTATCGCCATAGTATAAAAGCTTTTTTTAAAAACTGGAAACGGCTTGAGCTTAGGTCATCATCAGCGCCTGAGCGTATAGAGGGTGTACCAGGACTACTTGCCCCAGAGCCTGTCTACCTCATTGATTGTCCACTTTGGCTCAGGACGGACCCTGGACAGTTAAAGAGATTTGACTGTATATAATTATTGGAGCGTTTTTAATTTTAATATTATAGTTCTTTTGAAGAAAAAAACAACAACACCAAAACCCCCCTTCTGGCCACCAATATTGCTTTTTTTTTTAAAAACAAACAAAAACAAGCTGCTCGTAGCCTTCTCAAGCTGTGGACAGTGTGGTCCAAGGCTATGTACAATTGTACATACATGTTACTGGACAATTGCTGTTTGGCCGTTCACTGAAAACTTTTACTCAAAGGGTGTTTACTGTTTCCGTATACATAGAGAGAAAAATAGAGTATATTCACATACAAATTATTCCTCTACGGCCTACGCTACAGTTTTAAATGTAGGGTTTGTTTTAAAGTAGTTTAAAAAATACTCAAGAGTAGAAAGTAGAGTATATATGTATTTAGTCTGTACTCTATAAAGAGTATATACTTTTGTGTAGAGGCCTACTTTCACAGTCACACTGAGGAGCGCATACAGAATACGAGAAAAAAAATTGTTGGATAAAAACGCCACTGTGCGTAACGTGTATTTATTGAGTAAACAAACCAGTGCGCAATATTCAATATATTTAAAACTTATGCTTTTTTTTTGTTTTCAAACAAATTTCTTTGTGTCGTTGACCTTTGATTTGAGTCTTGACTCTTGAGTCTTGAGACTTGACCTAAGCTAAATAAGTTATAGGGGTACGGTGTATAAGTTCCAACTTTAATGTTTACTTTTTGATTTTTAAAAGTTATAGCTTTTATTTAGGACAAATCAACTACAAAGTTTTTTTTGGAAACTGCACTCAATAGGACCCCTATCCAAATTCCCGTTTGGTACGAAAACTCTAATAAAAAGGCCCCTTCGAAATAAGCAATTTCAACCAATCAGAAGCCGTTACGCACGGGATTTTTATGTCTGGCAGGCGTGTATGCGTATGAAACGTAAATAATTAGGTAAAAATGTAAAAGGCCAATTTCTTGGGTAACAATTGGTAGTACATTTAACATGGGGGTTGGGGGGGCTCGCCCCCCCCCCCCCTCTCAATTTTAAACTAATTCAAACGCACATTATCATATGATTTATGGAAACGACAATATCGTTTCAAAAGTTGGATGTAAATATTCGTACGCACATCATACAATGTCCAGTGAATTCTACATTATGATAGTATTTATACCAACGATATCATATGTTGGATCTAAATTTTCGTACACAAAACATCCAATATCATCTGCCGTCAAACATCAACTACTATTCATCTACAAATATCTGTGTACTATAAATTATAATACAACGAAAGATTTAAATCATTTATGGCTCTGCGTACTTTATTTTGCAGAAATCCAGATGGTTCTGTCAACCTTCATTTAGCCCCTACTCTTGTTCGTGTATGTGTACACGCGTAAGTGTACACACATGTATGTGTTAACATACGTGTGTGTAAACATACGCGTGAAAACACACACACGCATACAATTGATCCCCCAGATGCATGTCAAATCGACTCAACAATTCACAAATATTGATGAATAAAGATTCGAAATCTCATACCGTATATCGTAAACGATTACCGGAATGCGTGACTGTGATGAAAAGAAACTATAATACAAGGCAGCATGCCCTTGCATGTGACATGTTCAAAAGGTGAACAATATGCAAATACACAATCATATCATAGACAAAGACTACATATACGATTAGTTCCACCACAACCACCAGACCATACATGTCCAAATGATACGGAACAAAATACATACCCCAATGAGCCACGGTAAAATACATCTAGAGATATACCACATGCTAATACATCATCAAATGAACCACTTCGTTCACCCCGTCAATCTCGGAGCAATATCCGTACAATCCAAGGCCGACGTCAAGATAATAGAAAAATGATGACGGAATATATATTGATGGTCAACCTACAAATGACTATGAAATAGATGTAAACCACAACCTTGTTTGAGTAACATACCAATGACACCTTTAGAAGATGAAATAGAAAACCTTTTACCAAAACCAATTACGATGGAATTAATCAAGAACTGTGTACAAATTATACTGATAATATGGATCCTTTAAAGGCGCAGTGTAAGATCTCTGCTTCATATGGGTATACCCAATTGCAGAGTTCATGCGAAAACTCGTTCAAAACCCATAGTAATATGAACGATTATATGTGCAACAGTGCTAGAAAGCAAAATAAATTTCGTGCAAATATTCTAAGCAGTATTTATACAGCAGATGGTAATAATATATTTTTTTTACATAAAAATTTAGTACTCTTTGCTCACATTGTAAACAAGGGTTTAAAAAAGGCAAACCTTATAAATTTTCTTTGTGCAAAGGTTTCGATCTTGATGATTTGAGAACCTACAAAACGTATACATAACCTACCTCAACCAACATTCATGGAGATTATGTTACTACTACTGGCCCAGCCTTTCAAAAGTATATTACAATTACAGTTTACACCACATACAGATAGTATATCTTTAAAACGTATTGGACATATGATTTCTTTCCCCAGTGTAGAACTGAATACCACTTTCAAAAAAAACCCACAGACCCCACCAAAACGTTGACTTGAAATTTGGATTTTCAATCAAAATATATAAATATTTAATATCCAGTAGGGAGTTTGGGGATCCCACAGCCCCACAGTCCCACATCCGCGAAAAATGTCGGGCCAGGCCGAACCCCCAATTGAGACGTTCGTCCCCAACGACTCGTTACCCAATGACCAATAGAAATTGGACACACAAAAATCTATCACAAACCTCTCTGCCCAGGTCAGTACTCTACAGGCCAATCTCAATCAAATTTTGGGACCGGCTCTAACAACCCCGAACAATGATGGG